ATTGTGGTGGTGTCCTGAGGAGATTTGTAACTGATTTGTTTAATCCGTTCCCAACACGTAGGTTTGTTCACACAAAAAAAAAAACACAAAAAAAACAAAAAACCGAACCCCCCCCACACACACACACAAAATCCCCATCGCTATAAACTGGTCCAATTAATTTTGCAGTGGAAAATACGCTTTCTTTTTTTTTAATTTGGTTTTCTGCTTTTCTTCTCTGTGGACAGTGTTTTTTAGCACTGGTGGGGTTTCAGCTGGTCTAGTGTGTCTAGCTTTGCAGGTAACATTCAGAAAAGATGACTGTAAATTGAGTGGAGGAGCCCTAGTGGAGGGAAAAATTAGTGATATAGGTATGTGCTCCCATCCTGTATTTTCACCCTGTAGACACTTCTCTTGCTTTTCTTTTGGCTTATTTTTCTTGGTATTATTTAGAAGTAATGACAATCTATCCTAAAGCAGGTTGTAAAATGGCAAAATAAACTTTTTCTAAAAATTACTGGAAACTGTGTGTCTCTGTGTGTGTGTGTGTCCTGCCAGGTCTACTACCCGCAGAAAGGAGGAAATAAAATCCTAATGCACTGTAAAGGATTTCAGAATTTGAGACTTGCATGACAGCAGTTACAGTGTCTCAGTTAAAGTGTGCTATTTATGAAGATTCTTTCTGTCCTGGTTCTTCCTTTGAGTCAGGAGGCTTATACTGTAATTTGTAAGAGTAATTACCCAAATTCATATATCGATACACTCAATTACAGTTTGGAAGCATTCAGTGTTTTGGGAACTTTAGTTCCAACCTACATATTTGCAAGTCAAAATTGAAATGAGTGTCTATGAAGAATTTGGGGTTTTAAGTTTTCTTGCTAGAAGCTGAAAGCTAGAAGCTGTTTATTAACGCAGCCATGGTTATAGTTAGCATTTTTTACTGATGATTTGACAAGAATGTAATTCATGTTATTTTCATTTCTAATGCAGGAAATCAACTCAAGAAGATGAAGCCTAATAAAGGGAAGACCTGCACTAGGGAGAGAGACTATGTGTACAAATTCAGTGCTGGAAATCAACATTTAGTGCTTACCGTGCCCCTCAAATTCCCTGTGCAAGAGAATATTAGTCATTTGCATGGGCGTCTAATGCTTCTGCACAATCTGCCATGCTTTATAGAAAATGGTAAGAATTGATTTTTTAAATTAATGTAATATATCCATGTCCACAGGTGTCTTACAACCTGCTTTAAGAAACCAAAAGAAGGCTATTTACTAGAACAGTCTTTAAAAAACTTGTTTTTAAAACAGCAAAACATTAAAGAAAATTGCAGTCAGTACTAGCAAGTAAGGTGCCCAAGTAAAACATTTTCAGAAAAACTTGTTTCCTAGACGATGATTGATGTTTAATGTGACATGTTTTTCCACTGACGTGTTTTGTTGATGGACTGTTCTCTTCTTGTTGTAATAGACCTGAAGCAATCTCTTAATAAGTTCATAGAAGAGGAAACTATAAAAGATTATGATAGAGAAGCTGAAATGGCTCTGGAAGCAGTGAAATCAGGAAAAGTAGACATAAACCAGCTGGCAGATACTTGGGCTAAAGCTTATAAAGAGGTAAGATTAAGGTTGAAAAGTTAATATTCAGAACTTGCTTTGTGAGAGTGTCTGCATGTACAGACAGAATCACATCTGTGAAGATGCAAAATTGCATTGAAATTCACTTTTACTGACCAATTTTTACAATTTTTTCTTTTTACGTGAAAGTGATCATGAAGTCTTTATCCTACAAGTTCTCAGTCAGGATTTTCCTAAATTTAGTAGAGTCTAAAGATAAAAAAATTGAGAGGTAAATAGCTAGGTCTATAAAAATAGACCTAAGGATTATAGTGCATTAAAATCGAAGCAAGAGATAGTAAAGTGGTATTCCTATCCTGAATCGCAAAAATAGCAATGAAGACCCCAAAGAGAAAGTCTATAGCTGGAAGAGGCTTTTCAGTGCATTTTCTGAGTTTGTGTAACTATTTTACATTATTTAGCAATGATGAGGCTTTAGCTGGAATAATGCATCCAGTTTTGCATGTGATCTTCAAAATAGAGGAATGTAAAAGAACTGCAGGAGTCCTAGCAAAGAGAAAAAAAAGTATGACAGAAGCTACAGCATTCAAGGAAAAGGTTATAGGAATTGAATTTGCTTATCATGGAATACAGAAGAATGTTGTGAAAAAGTCCAAAACATACATCTGTTATGAAGAGAATTGGAAGCACATCATCTGCCTTAATGAACATCAACAAAATGAAATTAACTTAACCTTTAAGAAAGAAAAATCTGTAGTGGGTGAGCATAGGAATGTGATGTAACATTGAAAGAGCTGACAGTCTTCTGTGCTAGCAGTTTCTATTGCTAGGTTATTCTGAGCGCAGGGGTTAGGATTAGATAATTTCTTGACATTTCTAACCTACATTTCAATGATACAATCTCAGTTTGTCATCTGAATGTGGTGGGAATGACTGCAAATGTATGAAGTGTTTCTTATACTGAAAGAAAGCTTGCAAAACTGGCATCGTTGGGCCATTCTTTGTTCAATAAAAATTGCTTTTCTTAAATCAGTGTTGTTGCTCAAATTCTAGTGACATCAGACATTAGTCATCCTTTCTAGCAAAACATTTTTGTTTGCACAGCTGGTGTTTTGGGCCCTATCTAAAATTCATCAATTGCAAATATTGTTGTAGATATTACTGTTCTTTCCAAATTGGTGATGGCTGAAAACTGGTAATTCCTCGCTGTAGTCAAAACCTTAATGTTTCTGCTGTTAGTTGCTTTGAAAGAGCAAGAATAAGAAAAGGGAGAAAATGTTAAAGCTAAAGCAGAATACAGAAAGCTCAAATTAGGAAAGATATTTCATGTATGTTGAAGGGTGTGCAACAGTCTGCATGCCCAGTTGATTTTGCCCGACCATTGTGAGGGATCCTTATATGTCCTAAAAGGTACCATATGCTTTAAAGTCTCTTATTTTTAGACAACTTTAGAGTATGCAAAACCTGAAGAAACCAGCTGGGATGAAGATTTTGCTGATGTTTATCATGATCTGATACATTCTCCAGCTTCTGAAATGCTGTTAAACCTGGAACACAATTATTTTGTTAGTATCTCAGAATTAATAAGTGAAAGAGATGTGGAATTGAAAAAACTACGGGAAAGGTATTGCTTTTTTTTTTTTCCCCCCTATCTTATTAAATAGGAGTGCATGCCACTGGGTGTATACAATGTGTAGGACATCGTGTGTCAACTTGTATTTATCTATATAAGTCCTATTTTAGTTTTGTTTCCCTCTTTAAAGTCATATAGTACTTAACCTATATTGTTAGGCTCAGCTATCTTATATTCTCCTCAATCACTGAAAATATTAAAAGCTCAAGCCGTCAAAGTAATACAGGGTTTGATTTCCATTGTTCTATCCATGTTGTAAGTGGTATAGCAAAGCGAAGTTTAGGATATATAGAAAATAAAGCATATTTACGTACCATGTTTTGCCTTTGCTATGATGTAATTTAAAAGAAAAATTGGAAGTTCCACAGGATGAAAAGATGAGCAAAAGACTTGAACCAGATTTAAATCAGAAACTATTGAACTTGAAATTTAGGAAAGTCTGTGTGGGATCCAAATA